TACATTCTCCTTTCACATACATATATTCTTGCTTTCACACACTTACATTCTCCTTTCACACACATATATTTGTACTCTCACACACATACATTCTCCTTTCACATACATATATTCTTGCTTTCACACACTTACATTCTCCTTTCGCATACATATATATATATATATATATAAAATGTATGTATGTCTGAAGAAAATATGTGTATGTAAGAGAAGAATGTATGTATGTGTGAGAGAGAGTATAGTGGAAACGGAAGGCGTATAGTGGAAGCGGAAGGCAGGTTAGGCTCGATCAGGGTCACCGGGACAGGTCCTGATAAGCATGGCTGACGTAGATGAGGTGGCCGCTGGAGCACTTCAGCAAGCTATTGGGGTTTTAAGAAATATTTTATCATCTCCTGAAACGGTTACATCTTTGGCCTCGTCCCTTGAGCGACCAAGTACAGGCTCATCTGCACGTAATAACTACATACAGCACGGTGGAAAGTGAGATGAGGACACTTTTCAGGCCTGGCAGCTCAGTCGGTGCTTCGGCAGGTCAAGCTGCTAACGTTACTCAAGGCCAAACTGGAGGATTGCGGCAATCTTTGCGATATCAGACTCAGAAACACTTTGGCAGCTGGAGCTCCCGGTCAAGGAAAAGGTAAGAACAACGTACATTTATAACTTAACAATACCTAATGACGTTAAACGTGAGTTCGCAAGCCAAAACTTTTTCGGAGTGCCTATTTACACTGTGCAAATAGCCCGCCTTGTTGGCAGAGGATATTTACACTAACTCTGCCCCCCAACGTATGATTCTGATAGTCAATATTACAAAAGACAATCGTCAGCTCCAGTGGCGCAGATGGTAAAACGTGAGACATACTCATTTTGACACGATCGACCCGGGTTCGAATCCGCTTTTTGGCGACCTTTTTTTCTCCCTTTTCAAATTTCAAATCACATCAGAAAAGCATTTAATTTTAATAAAAATAAAGGAAATAATCAAAAAGTTGAAGATAAAGTATCGGATAGGGTTAGGGTAGGTGTAGGGAGGGCTTTATTGTCCCAATAAGGTGGCATCCATTTAATAATTAAAATTATAATTTA